CCCCTCTCGAAATTAGTCTCATCAATTCAGCTCCAATTTTGGGTTCGAATACAGACGCGGGTCTGAACGTGACCAGACCTGGAGTGGCGGGTGCAGCCTGCCAGCAACTGAGACTCGGTGTGCTTATGGGGGAGTGGGGTGGGGGTGGGGTGGGGGTGGGGTGGGGGTGGGGTGGGGGCCGGACCGACCCCCCCCACCTCCTGTCTGCTTCTCAATCCAGGGGTCTGCTCCGGGGCTCCCCAGAGACCGCCACATCTGGTTACCGCTAGCGGGGTCAGTTCCCCCCCTTTGCCTGGGGCCACCAGTTCTGGAGTTCAATTAAAAGAAATCAGACTTAACCCTTTCCTCCCCTCGGCCGGCAGCCTGCGCTCTCACTCTTCCCTTCAGCTTTTCCACATGCTTTCCAGAGAGGAAAGAGGTTAAAGGGAAAGGAAGAATGAATTACATCCTTTCAAACCCCAAATTGTTTCCTTTTCAGCCCAGACTCTGCCGACCTTCAAACGACAACAGGGCTTTCAGGAGGGTGCGGGGAGACCGCTTCCCACCCAGACCTGGCCAGAAACCCGGCACCCCCAGCTACATTGCCCCTTTTTCAGGCAGAAGGGATTCCAACTCTACCACCCGGAGGCCCCCTTCCTGGTCCTGGGCAAACACTGAGGTTGTTAATGGCCACCCCACACCAGCCAGCCGCTCCCCCTTCCTTCCAGACTCCTCGTAGTGTTGGAGAAGTCACCTCCATGGCAAAAATGTTGGCTAGGTTTCTCTTCCAACCTCCTATGAGGGGTGGCCAAGAGCATATATTCTTATCTACACTGCACTGATCAGGACAGTCACCCCCACACCCTTAGCACCCCCAACTCCTTTTAGCAGGAGCTGCCTTTCACATCAGGGAGTTGGTCAATATGAAACTACATTAAAATGAGGACTTGCCCTCCTCTTTTATTTTATTTTTTTTTAAAGATTTTATTTATTTCACACACAGAGAGAGATCACAAGTAGGCAGAGAGGCAGACAGAGGGGGAGGAGGAAACAGGCTCCCTGCTGAGCAGAGAGCCCAAGGAGGGACTTGATCCCAGGATTCTGAGATTATGACCTGAGCTAAAGGCAGAGGCTTAACCCACTGAGCCACCCAGGTGCCCCTACCCTCTTGTTTTAGCTGTGGAACTCAATAGCACTTTTTTTCTCCTGGGAGAACCAAAGCTATGGCAATTTCATAATTTGGAAGATGGAGGGGGAGAGGCTGACATTGGCATAACTGTCACCCCTTTGTGACTCATGGACTGGCCCTGAGGCCATGCCTTTTGCTATTTACCAGCTCCTCCATGAGGAGCTCCCCTCCATTCACGAGGTCCTCCAACCAGCAAAAAGAAACCCCCCAGCTGGGAACAACAGCTCTCTGAGGGATTTGAGACTCCCTCTACCCCATACTGACATGCTGGTGGGCAAGTTTACCCCACTTATATAACTCTGGGTTTGAGGCTCAACTCCTGCTGCTGCTTCTATTTTAAATCCCAAAGGGGGAAAAAGCCCTAACCAAACACAACAGTAAACAAGTCTGCCCTGTTTCATGTGGTTAACACCAGACATCTGGAAAGATGGTTTGATCCTGGCAACTTGCATTGTTTTCACGAGCAGCCAAAGAGAATATTTTGAATGTTTGCATTGAGACAAATTGATAGAGAGGCTGTGGTAAGGCCCACTACAAATGAAAAGTGTCTTTGAGTTGGGGAGCCCCTCCCGGTCTCCCCTCTGTCCCTCCCCTTTCTCTTTCCCCTCTCTCCCTCTCCCTTCTCCTAGCTTAGCGAGGAACTGGTTACCCCAGCCCACACACTTGCCCACACCCTCTTTCCTGGCTCACCAGAGACTGCCCTGCCTGCCTTTCCCAGACTGGGCAGGGCTGGTGCCCAGGAGCCAGTGCCCGCTACCATCAGTGCCCACCAGCTTTCAAGTCGGGGGGGGCGCTGCAGTCAAGGAAACCGGGCCAGCATGGAAAACAAAAGCTACCAACTGGGGGACCCACAAGACAACTCATGACACAGTTCTAAGCCTAGGGTCAGGTACAGAAAGCATGCACATGGAGGTGAATATTTAGGAAAACATTTGGATTTTGAACATTTTCGCTGGAACTCTGGTCGGACGACTTGCCTCTCACCGTCCGCACTTGACAGTATTTTCAAAGATGCGGAAGTCCTGCTTCCCCCCGGTGGGGGGGGAGCGGCTGGGTGAAACGTGTCTTGGCTCGCTCAATGTCAGCCCTTTTGACCCGGTCAAGACTTTCCAGACGCGACTTCCTGGGCTTCTTCGGTCCAGCCCAGGTTGGAGGCGGGAGGACGCGACAATCGGGGCCGGGTCCCCGGGGTGCCTCCGGACCCGGGGACTGCCCCGTCACTTGAAACCCCGAAAGATGCCAGGCCTGGCAGAGTGTCTCCGGCGGATCCTCCCCCCTCCGTCCCTCCGTCCCTCCGTCCCTCCGCCCTCCGTCCTCCCCCGCCCCTCGGGTCCAGCGCGGCCTCGGGTGGTATTCGAGCTGGCAAGGGCGGGGAGGGCGGGGAGGCGGGGGCGCGGGGGAGGGACCGGCGAGCGAGCGCCAAAACTCCAGACTGCACAACTGCAGCTTCAAGTGTCTGGCCCCTCGCTCCAGGCCATAATTAATTTGAGATTTATTTTTATTGGAGAACTCGAGTCTCGTCTGACCTTAGCCAAACAAGGCAGCTCGAGCCGCCCCTGGATGCGCTTGAATGCCGGGGAATATTTCTGCAGGAAGGCTCTGTAGGCGCGCCTGCTTTGAATTTGTTTCTCAGACTTCATCTACTCACAGAATGAAGGAAGATTTAGAGCCTCTGCTCGCCCTGCCCGCTCCCCACGCTCGTTCTTGCCTTAGTGCCAAGCGGGTTCAAAACGCTACGTGGGAGGCCGCGGCGGCGGGAGGGCCGGGGGCCGGCGGGCTCTGCTGGGGGAGGGTCTCTGCGCCCCGAGCCCGAGGCGCTCCGGGCCGGGTCCCCAGACCACGCGGCGTCAACGAGGAAATCCCGGGGGAGTCCCAGGCCGACCAGAGAGCGCAGGCTGACAAGAGGTGGAGACCAGCCAGGTGCCGGGACTCTCACCCAGCGGCGGCGCCTAGACGGGGGCCTGGGGTGGGGGGGGGCACGGGAGCATTTCAGCCTCTCCGATCTCTGTCCGCCCTGCCTCCCAGCCGCCCCAAATGGCATTTATTCTAAGTACAGACCTGTGTCCTTGAAACGCTGCTGCAGGACCTGCTGGCCAGATGCTGCCCCTGGGGCGTGTCGGTCGCTGTGAACATTCTGGGGCTAGAAGCCTCCTTTGGTCTGGTTTGGGGGGGCGGGGTGTCTCCTCCAGAACGCAGCTTGGGCTGAACCTGCAGGCTAGGTGGTGAGGGAGCGGGAGCAAGGAGTTTGGAAGACTCGCAAAGAGGAGAAAGTGGAGGACCCAGCCAGTCTCCGCTGGGGTTGACTAGGGGCTTTCTGGCTTGTGCTCCCCGCGCTGGGACTGACAAGGGATTTACACCCTGCAGGGGCAGGATGACTTCCCATATCTACAAGTGGAACATCCAGGTGGAAGGACACACAGTGGGACCTAGGGTTTGAATTCCGGCTCTGCACGTACCAGCTCTGTGGCCTTGAACATGTTTCTTAACCTCTCTGTGCCTCAGTGTCTTCCATCTGTACATGGGTGTTGTGATACAACCTAACCCTCAAAGGGCTTTTCTAAACTTGAAATGAGTGTCTGGAACTTGCCTGACAGCACAATTTTGCCCTTATTTGTATCTTGGCCCCACCTCTTACAAGCTCTGTTATCTTAATCTCTCAATACCTCAGTTTCTCATCTGCAAAATGGATTACCTCCTAGGGTTGTTATTAATATTAAATGAGTTAGTACAAATACAATGTTTAGAACAGGGCCTAGCAAAGGCAAGGACTACCATGATGTTACTACCATTACACACCTACTGCAATGTCTTTGTCCTAAAGAGTCACCCCTCTTCCCTCTCTCCCTTTTCCTCTCTCCTTCCAGCCCCGTACCCTCCCTCAGCACTCTCCTGCGGAATCTCCCTGAGGACTCTTGAGTTCTCAGAACCCAGATCACTGCCGGGTGGCGTGGGCACCCTTGGCTGCTGCAGCCCAGCTAGGCTCCAGGCTCCCGCCCTGGGCGCCGGGGCCGTGCGGTGTTTGTCAACAACCTCGGAGGTTCCTGACACAGAATGGCAGGGGTTTGGCAGCGGGGGACTGTTTGTGCCCCTCTGGCAAATGGTCGATGTAGGGAGCCGGAGGAACAGACCCAAGATTGTCCCTGCTACGCAGACCTTGCGCCGCCATCAATGCACCCCTTTGTGCAACAATACAAACTTTGTGGCTGCTGAAAAATCCATTTTTCCCCCTTGAAAAGAGCTCCTGCAGCGAGCGGCTCCTTTGGCTGCCCACAGCTCCTAGACTGCCGCCTCTCTCCCTGCTCCCCACTCTGGACAGCAATGCTCTCCTGGGCGGGTTTGCTTTCTCTCTGACTCTCCGTTTGGGTCAGTCTCCTGGGCTCCTGCTTGCCCCTCTTGGGACCGTCATCCCGAGGTTTTGGGTCCCCGAGGTGTGTGCACACAGGGGTTGGGAGGTGGTGGTGGGCTGTGGGTAGGAGAGAGACTCCCCACCCCGGGGCCACGTGCAGCCTTTGGGGTAGAGCTGGAAGTGGGAACGCCTTTAGTTTTGAGTACTGGGAGTGCCGGGGTGGGAAGGGTCACAGCCCGCCAAACCTCTCTGGGAAAACTGGACGCCAGGAACCCCGGTGCGCTTTAGTCTCCCTGTGTACGCCCCGCCACCTCCCGAGAGCCCTCCGTCCAGCGATCCATTATATGGATTGTAGACACATCGATTCACTTATTTTTCATTCATTCATTACAGATTAAACACCTCTTACCCGCGCCAAGGCTCCAGGACCTGGCCCCCCAAAGTGACTGTAAAACTTCTTTAGACCTCGGAAGGGGGAGGGAATGGGGGGGTGATACTACCCAGTCTCAACAAATTTCCCTGTAGAGGAATGGGAGGAGGGCCGAATGTAAAAGTTGCGCTTCCTGAGAGCCGCACCCCAACGAGGAGGCCAAGTGCCGGCTGTCCCACTGGTCGGTGACATTCGCCGACGCAGCAGGGAGCTCGGCGCCGGCTAGCAGGTGGGGTGGGGGCCGGAGGGGGCGGAGTTTCACGGATAAGGGGCGGGGCCGGGACTGAGGGGTGGGTTTGCCGAACTCCGGCGGGCTCTTCCTCCTCGGAACTAGGGAAGGCTCAGCCAGCGCCAGCTCCCGGCTGCTACCCGGAAGGAGGGAGGTCGTGCCTGAATCCCTACCCCGGACACCCTCGGCCCCGCCCCACTGGCGGATTTTCATTTAAACGTGTAACCCAGATGTCCTTCCCTCGCTTTGTTTACATTCTTGGGAACTGTTATGAGTGCAAAAAACGTTCTATACGCTGTCAAATGCTGCGCTTTGGAGGGGCGGGTGGGGCCAAGGAAAGGTGTGCTTGAGGACCGACGGGGTGTCGAACCAGTGGAGAAGCGCGTCGCCTTCACATACGCTCGCACACATGCCCAGAGACTCACATGCACACTCCCAAGTACAGGCAGACTCTTAACTTGAAACCTGCTGTGCGCCGGCGGCACGAGCGCAAGACCCACTGGGATCGGACATTGGCTCTCAGTTCAGGGACTGGCATCTGGGCTTCCCTGCCCAACCTTCACCAGGCTCACCCACTTCCAGTCTCCCAAACAGTATCTGCCCGAGAGCCTGCCTCCTCAACCAAGGATTCCCCAGTCTCCAGATCCACCCTCTGACCCAAGAAAGGGGATGGAGGGACCACAGGCCTTGGTGGCAGAGGGGCGGGGGTTATTACCTGTTTAAAGACGCTGTCATGTCTTACCTTGACGTAAGACGATGTGTCGGGGACCGTCTGAAACATCCTGGCTTGGTAAGGAAGGGTGGGGAAGGCCCAAGAACCAGCCTGGGTAGGAGAAACCTCAGTCACCCAACAGTACAACATGGGTGAGAGAGTAGGGGGTCGGAGTGGGGTTAGGTGATGAAGGAGGGAGGCAAAGGGAGAGGACACGAGATTTGGGATGCTTGGATCTGCCTGGGATCCGCCTGGGCCAGCAAGGGAGGATAGGAACTGTTAGGTACTGGGCACCCGCCCTGCGCCTCTGCCTCCAGACCTGAAGGTTGAGAGCCAGCTGAAGCCATTGGGTCTCTTTCCCACAGCCGTGTAACCCTCCCCTACCCACAATCAGAGACACCCATCTCCCCACAGGGGCCTGGGTAGTTTCACACCTGCAGACACCAGGGGACGGGGGACCATCTGAGCCAGAAGACAGAATGCTGCCTGGATAAAGGTAGGTTTCCCCTCGGATGCAGCCTAACGGCCCAGGGACCAGATATTTACAGAGCTGCCAAGCTCAGGCCCTCCAGGCACAGATCTCCTGCCTGGCTCCTCTAAAACCCCAGGACTCTGCCAGAGTCCAGGTGTCCCCCTCTTCCCTGCTGCTGGACCACGTGGGGAGGAAGACTGGCAGAAGCTTCTTGAGGTCTGGGGAGGTCCTTTCCCCCAGCCCCTGCTTCTTAAAGAAAACAGTTTTTACAGCAGAGACAAAGACAATGAATAACGCAGCCTTACTTCTAGTGGCAGAGGAGCTGGTGTCTGAAGTCTGAGTAATTGGGCTGGCCGGGTCAGAAACCACCCTAGAATGCCAGGTGCCTCTGCGTGAGTCTCCCCGTGTCTTGCCAAGTCCGGCGGCTGTCTCTCTCCCCTCTTCCCGTCCTTCTCTTAAACCATCTTTAACGTGGCAGCGTGCGGCTTCTCCGGCAGCCAATGTGTTTCTGATAAAGCACTTTTCTCCTCACTAACAAATTCCAGCTTTTCGGCTCCTGAAGCCACAACACACATACGCGAGTTCAGGGACCAGGTATGTTCCTTTGGGCTCCTAGATTCCCATTCCCTGCCTCTATCCCCGGGGTCCTTGTGGAGAGTGTCCCCCATTTTCTCTGAAAGTTGGAATGGAATTTGCAGGAAAAAAAAAAAAAAGTGAGGGGGGAGCCGGGGAAGAGAGAAAAGAAAGTGCCGGAGAGAAAGAGAGAGTCGGTGGAGAAAGGGGCGCCACTAACCCCCTGCATTCCCCCAAGGATCTCACACACGGGAGCGCTCACCTTAGATACCCTTTCCTGTTTGGCCAGCCGGAGCAGAAGTCCAGCAACTCCAGGATGTTCGAGTTCTGGGTGCCAGTTCTCTGCGCCTAGAGCCCCCGATCCTCGGTGCCCTATTAAACCTGCTGGCTGCCCGGAGTCAAAATGTACCTTCCTCTTCAGTGCCTTCACACAGCCAGCCTCAGTCCTAGTATGAGCTGGGGTGGGGGGGTGTGCATAGAAACCACTTGGTCTGTGCGCCCTGCAGCTCTCCTCCCTGATGTCTCTCTTCATCCCACTCCCCCTTCCTCTCTCTTTTCCCGTCTTTTAACTTGATTTCCGTTTTCTTATCAATATTTCAACTGCTGTCTGATGAATTGTTCTAATAGACAGCCACCCATCTGTCCCTCACTGCTTTTCCAGAAACCTCACGGTAGTGCTAGGAAATGTCAAGGAATACTGGGAACCACACACATACTACAGATATAAAGCCAAGGGGAGACACGGAGACCCTGGCCTGCTTTTATGTGATTAGCTTTAAATGATTGCTGTGCAAATAATTTTTTTCTCAGACTTAAGCAATGTGATGGAAGTCCTCTTGGCTTTTTCAAGCCCTTAAGTTCAGTTTACTTACAGGTGACTCTTCCCCTTACTTGGACCTCCCCGGAATACATCATTTTCCGACCCATGATTTCTAGGCATTGTCTATATGAGCAAGGAGATTTGCAAATGTCAGAAGCAACCCTATTAAGGAGTTTCAATTTTAAATTACATATAACAACACCCTTGCTCAGGAGTCCTTTTTGGGTCCTTGAGTTTGTGGTTTTTTGTTTTTGTTTTTGTTTTTTTAAATTTTGGAATCTGGCTTGCTTCTTCATTTCAAGACCAGGTCTTGAATGGGGCTCAGATTTCTGAGTTCTTGTCCACATTCGCTGTTTTAGTTGCCCAGTCCAGGGCCATTCTCCACAAAACGGCTGGGCCTTGCCATGCCGATGCATTGCCTGTGTGCTCCCTCCCAGGCTGGTGGTTTCCACACCCTTCCATGACTTTGCATCTCCTGAGCCTCCAGTAACCAGGAGCTTTGCACCAGACCTCTGTCCAGAGCCCTTGGCAGGGACCAGAGCAGCTGAACTTGGGTGTGCATTGTTGGGGGTGGGGCGAAGCCAAGTGGGGGCTGTGTGACAGGTAAGGGTAGAGTGTGTCATTTGTAAGAAGAAAACCATAGCTTCAGTTCCCTCTGAGAATTAGCCTCAGTTTCTCAAGCCATTCCCTCCTCGTTCTTTCTTGGGTACCCAGACCCTGCTGGCTGCTTTGGTTCTGGACACGAGAAAATTAACTTGGTACCTGCTCCCTCTCCGCCTCCCTGCTCCCCACCCCTCAGCTGGCTCTGGAAATTTCTGACCAAAAGCAATTGCTAGGATTCCATTTCTGGAGAAAGCACACTTATCACCCAGATCTCCCCACGTGGGGGGTATGAAGACTGGCGGCAGGGTTATTCATTATTTCCTTCTCAACAATATCCCGATTTTTCTCTCCGTCCCTCCCCCAAAGCTCAACATATTGAAACATTTTGCTGCTTAATAAGAGCAGCCGGGAGAGCTCTGGGGTGAAAGGCCAGCCCGGGACCGTGACTGGGGCTGCCTGGGCTCGGGGCTGACGGCCAGGCTGCCCCCACCCTGCACATTCCTGACCATTGCTTAGGAAAACAAGAGAGGCTTGGGGAGGGGAGGGGCCTGAAGTACAAGGGCCTGTGCCCCATAGTTTTGTTCCTGGGATTCCGTGCAGAGGTTGGTGGTCTTCCTTCCCAAAGGGAACAAACACTATTCCAAACAACCACAAATGAAACAGAAGGTGCTCCTCTGTCGGGCAACACATCCCAGACCAGTGTCATGCTTTTTAAGGAGAGGTTCTTTGCAGCACAGCTGGAGATTTGAAATTGCTTTCTTTTCAACATCCCCACCCGCCCCCCACCCCACCGTCTCCTTTCTTTTCTTGAAAGGGGACTTCCAAAGAGACGGCTTGAGTACCTGCTTCAGATTTTCAACTCTTCTTTATGTTTCAGAGTTGTTATCACACCCTTATTCATAGACCTCTCCATCCAAGGTTGGCCTCCCTTCCTTAGACCGTAAGCTCCCTGAAGGCAGGTGTTGCTTTCTTTTCCTTCCCGGCTGGATACCCCGGGTCCACAGTGAAATTGACAAGCATTGAAGTGGGACAATTTCTTAACTCTGTCTCTTCTTCTGAACAATAGGGAAAACAAAACAAAGCCAAGCCATCACACTGTTACTAAGTGAAAACTGACAGGCACATTTCACCTGAGTACAGTAATTCATTTTCTGCTTTGCAGGGTGGGAGAAAGTCAGGGCTCCTGGGTGGTGGACTTTATTTTTACATAAATAGTTTAACCAGGGATCATGAGATCCTCCGTCTCTGACAGAGGTGTCCTCTGCTAGTTCTATATCAAACCCTTCAGTGTTATGTGTGTGTGTGTGTGTGTGTGTTGTGCACACCCACGCATGGATGGCCTCCTATTTCCTCCTCTTCATGTAATTTTAAGAGCTAGAATGGGCATTCGCGCTGAGGATCATGCAAATAAATAAAATCTTGGTGGTCCTGGAAAAACAGATGAGCTGAAAATGAAGTGGACTTGATCTGGACTCCCTTTCAGCTAGGGTTTCGGAGCAGGACCTATTTGCACACTTGAGGGGGTGGGGAGACTTGTGGAGGCCCACCCAGGGAGTGCTGGCAGCCCTAACCACCCTGTCTGGGAGCAGGGGTGGGGTGGGATTAGGACCCAGGCTATCTCATCCTCCAGAAAGATACGGCCAACTCCCTTTGTCACCTGGAGCCTTCAATTTGCCAGAAGAAAATTGTTGAAATTGGTAACAGCTGCCATAAGATGGAGCCTAAGAAAGGAGAGAATGAAGGGAAAGGGGCAGGAAGACTCATTAAAGCCAGCTTATCCCTCTAACTGCTTCCAAAGGGAAAGGGGCGGGGCTCTCTTGCTCCCTGGTTATTGCCTCCTTGCCAGCCCATACCAGGCTGCCTCCTTGGGCCATTGATTTGCAACCCAGAGCCTGGTCATTAGCAAGTGACTCTGATGTTGACTTTAGGAGCTTGGGAGATTGGAATCCAAAAAACACATTCATTAGGGGAGAAGAGTTGGTTATCTTGGGTGGGGGGGGGGTGCCACCTTGGGTTCTATGATTCTCAGCAAGTCCATGAGGACCTAGTGTCCCTATTTGGCTAATGAGAGAGTTACAACTAGACCATCATGAGATGCCTTCCAATAATTCTGTGAGATTATTTGACCTGGGAAAGCATGTGAATCAAAGGCAAATTAATGTTCTAGGGTTAGAAACTTTGGGTTCCAGTTTTAGTTCTGCCTCTAATGAATAGTGTTATGAACTGAATTGTGTCCCTCTGAAATCCATATATTAAAGCCCTTACCACCAGTAATTCGGAATGTGAATGCATTTGGAGACAGGGCCTTTACAGAGATAAATAAGGTAAAATGGGTGGGCCCCAATCCCTTAGGACTGGGGTCCTTATAAGAATAGATTAGTACACAGTGCTAAGCCAAGGAGAGAGGCCTCAGGAGAGGGCAAACCTACTTGGGAACTTGATCTTGGATTTCTAATCTCTAGAACAATGAAAAAACAAATTTCTGTTGTTTAAGCCACTAATACTTTGGTATTTATTATGGCAGCCCTAGCAAACTAATGCAAGTGGGGAATAGTACTTTGCCATGATTTGGTTTCCTCAAGCAAGTAAAAGAATTGACCATGTTGACACACTTTACTCAACTCTTCTGGAACCCTCCAAAAGAACTGCCATCCACAGTGTTTTTGGTCCTGTGTAGCCGTGTATAAAGCAGTATTCTGATCTTTGTGGTTCTTTCCACCCCAAATAAAGACTTCAATGACACTGAGTTTCAGTGTCCTCCACATTTTCTGTTCCCTTTGCTTTTAATGATGGGAAGGAAGGAAGTTGCTTCCTGCTCTCCCATCAAGCAATTTCAGGTTTTAAAGGGTAGCCAGCAAGATGTCATGCTCCTTATCTCTCATTATTTGTGTCCTCTTGTAGCCCTTGAAGGCTGAAAACCTACACTGAGCTCCTGGAAATTACAAAGAGAGAGAAGAAGTGGGAAATCTGCTCAGAGTGATAAGTCCAGGAAATGGAGGCAGTGAGTAGAACAGGCTCCATGAGAAGAGCTACCAGACTGGGGCACTTTGGATTCTGACGCGTGTGAGCGGGTCGGTCCTTTGATTCCCATCACATACCAACACACATACACACATACACACATTCATGCATATCCTCAGCGTAACAGAGAGGATCTTGGGATGGGATAGCATAGGGTGCAAAATAAGGAGATTTCAGAGCAAGGATGGAGATCTGCCAGATCAAGAGATCTGTGATCTGATCAGACAAAAGAAAGGGCCTCTCCTAAGCTAACTGATTCAACCCTCACCCCCACCTGCAGATCAAACACATACAAAGTTCCCGAGGACAGGAGCGCCTGGGTGGTTCAGTTGATACGAGTCCCACTCTCACCTTGAGCTCTGGCCATGATCTCAGGGTCTTGGGATCGAGCCCTGCACTTAGTGTGGAGTCTGTTTGAGATTCTCTCCCTCTGTTCCTACCCCCTACTCCCACACCCAGCCCACTCTCTCTCTAAGGAAAAAAAAAAAAAGAAGTTTCCCAGGACTGTGGATGAAGAGGTGAGGACAAATAAGACGATGCATTAAGGCAACGAGGAGCTTTTAGGACCAAAGATTTTTATATACATTATATTCCTTCCTTCAACCCCCTTAGCAAATTTTCTCTCCTTAAGTTCTCTCTCCATGAATATCAATTAATTAATTTTATTAGATAATCCCTCAACCCTGTTCTATCTTAAATTTTTATAATTCTAAAGAGCATTTTACTAGTCTCATCTATAATTATAAATGTTTTAGTTTATTGGGAGACATCGTTCATCCTTGCTCCTGTTTTAAAAGAGAAAAGAGAAAACTGAGATAAGAGTTAGCTGGGC